GAAATTTTTTGGATTTTGAATCAAAAACAAATTTTTCGATCTCTATTAAATTTGTCCGGTCCGTTGTTTGTTTTGCGAATGGTGGGTCTGAGAGAGAGGGGGGTGGAGAGAGAGAGAGAGAGGGGGAGAGAGAGAGAGAGAGAAGGGGTTAGGCAAGAACGAAACCGGCGTCATTTCCAACCCCGAAAGTGCACGCGTCTGATCTATTATTAGAGGCGCTCCCGGTTTCCCGTAAAAAGCTCAGGAGTTATAACGGTCTTAAACGCGGTACGAGCCTCGATACTACGTAGATATTTATTCGCGCTCGGTATATTTATTTGCGTCGGTAAATAGGTATGCGCTGACGCGGATCAACGGAGACAGGTGCGTCCTCCTCTGGCGTACACGAGGCGTTATAGGTTAAGATACGGGCGGATTTATCTCGATTCTCCGACTTTTTTCTCTTTCCTTTTTTAACTCTTTTTTTTTTTCTTTCTTTTTTTTTATCTTTTTTTTTTTTTCTCTCTTCTTTTATCGACTTTACCACCCTTTATTTCCTCGCTGGCCAGTAACCGTTCGCTCTTATACCCGGGAGCCACGAAAATTTTTCAGCGTCGCGACGCCCCTTACCAGGGAAAATTGCTTTCTCACGTCTACGTCCGGATACGAGGGCGCAGATTGGAAACGAGGATATTCCGTTCGTAGAACGATTCGACTGCGAGTATCATACGGCGTCTGGTAGAGGCGTCGCGACGGTCAGATTCGGCATTCTCGCGGAGGCAAAGTGCAAGAGGGAGTCCGTGAGCCTGCGAGGCTGCGAGGCCGTGAGCATTGTTCGCGTCTATTAATACTCCTGCTTGCATACTAATCTGCTGCACAGGGCTCGGAGCTCTCTCTCTCTCTCTCTCTCTCTCTCTCTCTCTCCTTCCATCTCTCTCTGTCTCTCTCTCTCTCTCTCTCTTCCCCTATCTCATTCTCTAGTTCGTACACTGGTCTCTCCTACCAATCCGTGTTGCTCCCCTGGCCTATTATTCCACTTAGGACACCGTGGACCAGAGAGGCAACCTCGCGTAGCCTACCAAAGATACCGGAGAGAGAAAGAGAGAAAGAATCTGAACGAGATTGGATGCTTTCAAGAGGTGTATCCTTTAACGTAACCGTATGGCAATGTAAAAGCACTGTAAGTCTACTCGCAGACGCGCCGCTCAAGTCCGTGCGAGACAGGATTGGTACAGTACCCAGTACCACGTTTACGTTGCTCGCCCGGTATCGAGCAACGTATCCAATTCCTTCTACCTCTCGAAAGCATCCAGTTTCTTCGAGCACTTGAGAGCGAGAGTGAGAGAAATAGAGAAAGAAATAGAGAAAGAGAGAGAGAGAGAGAGAGAGAGACCGCAGGAACGCTCATCCTTTTGACAGATAGACCATAGTGGATGTGATTGGCATGATTGACTGGAGGGTTTGCCGTACCTTTTGAAAGCATCCAGAGCTCCTTCGAGCTGAAGACGCCGGTCGCGAGGATCGTGTCGTTGCAGACGACACCGTTATACAGTTCGTGGTATCCTGCACCTGAGAACAGATCCAATCGATGCTTCATAAAGATCAGCAATCACTTGATCCATCCCCATAAAGCCCCATAAGGATCGTACAAATACTTGATCGAACTGTCACAGTTAACCCATGAGTCCACCCCATCAATAATATCCAATGAATCGGTAACGAGCTTCGACACCCGTTACTTTTAGCCCCTTTTCTCTTTTAACCGATACTCAAATACGGCCGCCTCGAATGAAAGCGTCTGTGCATACCTTTCCGCCGCCTTTCTTCCTCCTTGCTCGCGTTGCAGATCCCATTTAGAACCTCTGAAAGCACAGAAAATGGTTCATTATCTTATCGCTCATGAATCCTCCTGAGACGTTTCTTCGCCGTCCGACTATAATGCCGCTTGTACTACTTTGTCCTCTTATTCTCGTACTCCGTACACACGGTACTCGTGTATCCATATATATATATATATATATAGTTCTCTTGCAACGTCTCCCCTACCCATGGCAGTCTTGCTAATCATCTCGGCCTCATCCCCCCGTACCCCTGCCACTTCCCAGCATCCCTGTCACACGGTGTTTTATATCTCCCGATCTTACGCAAATCTCATTACGCAACATATCACCGAAATACTCAGAGCCCGGAACGTTCGAGTTCTTCGAGGGCGAGAAGAGAAGGCGGAACGGTGGTTGTTTGCCCGCTCCTTTACTTCGTTTCGTCTGCGTTCACGGCGTAAATACTGGGACCGGGCTAATGGCAGCGCCGACGACACCGAGGGACAGTCTGAGTTATGATAAGGCTCGTGGGATAACGCCCATTGGGAAATTTTGCCAGTCGCGGCTCATTGCTAAAATCTTCATCGCGAAGATTTATATATGGTCCATACAATTGTTTACGGACAATGAGCTTGGAGTATTTAGAGAGGCGACATTCAGGGCCGTTGGGCTTGGGTGGGGGCCCGGTGCGGAAGCCGTTGAGGAAGATGATGATTATGATGAAGAAGAATAGGTTGATGAAGCGGACGGGGAGATGAAGTGGAGGAAACCGAAGCGGAGCACGCGATGAAGCTGCTACAAGGCGTCCATTGCCTACTTATTTATAGAGCGAGCACACGTCGGCGCACATGGTCTCGCACGCATCCTCTCTCCTCTCCTGTATCTCTCTCTCTCTCTCTCTCTCTCTCTCTCTCTCTCTCTCTCTCTCTCTTCCTCTTCTAGTGCTCCACTACGGGAATGCGATTCTGTATATATGCACAGCGACAGATCAGCCGATACGGAGCGCCTTCCTTGAGATGACAAGACGTACGAGATCGATGGATGCTGCAACTGATGCAATTTTGAGTAAAACTTTTAATCGATCAAATTAAAATTATTATCTTTAAGGAATGAGATAACATTTCGACAGACCCTCCACCTGCGATGAAGATCGTCGAGCTACGGATCGTCGCGAGGTCGATTGCGTAAGAAGCGTCGCCTCTTACGAAAGCGTCGCCAGGGACAGGTGGACCGGTCCCCTCCGCGTTTCTCCTCTGGATAAGACCGAAGCCGAGGACCTCGTTATCCCGCGCGAGAAAGAGCGGACGAGAGTCGAGATAACCAGGAAGTAAATTCTTCGTCGGTCGCCGGATGAATATCCGATATAAAGAAAAACGAGCTCGAGGCGCATTGGCACATCATCGCCGTCTTCGTTACGCGTTATACGATCAACATCATGAAAATTCCTGGCCCTCTCAAAATATACATGGTGGCACAATAATATAAACCTCGTGGCTGCCAAGGCCATAGGCGTAGCATATAAAAAAAAAAAATTGCTACCTTTTTCAAGTCAATCCTCGGATGCTGATCTTTAAGAGTCACTCTCTCTCTCTCTCTCTCTCTCTCTCTCTCTCTCTGTATATCTAAACAAGATCAGTGGATCCGTGTCGATAAAGAAAACCGAGAGTGATAACAAGAAGAGAGAGAAGGGAAAGAGCGTCGTATGAGAAAAACATGGCAAGTAGAAGCGCGATGTCTGGAGTGCCTAACCTACCCCATGTCTTGGCAGCGCTGCGTTTTTTTTCTTTTTTCAAGCTAGTACGATAGGCTCGGCCAATTTTTGCGTCAACCGGCTGTAAACATTAGAAAGGAGGCTGCCAAGCCGGCGAAGGGGCCGTGTGACGGCCCGTATACGTTATCGAGCCAGAAAGCCGGCAGCTACGTACGGGTTCCGTGACGGACCAGAAAGCGATACGTCTACGAGTAGTCCAAACGGCCTGACCGACTGCTAGTAGGGTGACTGGGTGTAATCTGGGTGTAAACGTAATCTGTGACTCCTACACGAGGATCCTCCCGTGAACGTTAAACCTCTCGATTCCCGCTGCTCACTGAGCTGGGGAAGCCGGATGAAATTGGCAAGACGTTCCAAGAAACTTTGAATCGAAGCCGAGTGGAGTAGCGGCTGCCCATTGAACGAGCGAAAGGGAGGTCGTTGGCATGCTCGTGATGAAAACGCACCAGAAGTACTGTTGATAGAGAGAGGTGAGAGTGAGAGAGGAGGAGGGAGGGACGAAGAGGTGAAGCGTAAGCAGAGACTATCCAGGTAGGTCACGTAACCAAGAGTACGCCTTATCGTACATTGTCCTTAGCCGTACGACCAGGTAGGAGCAGTAAGTCAGGTGGGCAAATACTTACCGTGACTCGTGATGAAGTTTGCGAGGTAGAGGTCGAGTTCCCGGACGGAGACGTTTATGTGATAGGGGTTGACGCAGAGGCCAGGTTGGGCGCATTCGGCCGTCTTCTCGAGCCGCTCGCCGTCGGTCGACTCCAGGGGAATAGCCTTGAAGAGGATCACCATGACCAGGTCCAGCCGCCACACCTTTCGCAAAATGATAATAAAGATTGGGTCAGAGTATAAAGGAGTCATTCACCGGCGGGGCCTATGAATTCGTTGTGAACCCACCTTGTCGGCCTGACGCAGACAGTCGATGCGTCGCATCTTCCCTTTCTGATCAGGATTGCTCAGGACGCACATGGCCGGCCTCTTACCAGTGATACTCAGCACGAAGTCCTCCCGGTACTCCTGGGTGATGTCCTTGCGCAACTTACCCAGGAGGCGCGAGGCCCATTTCTGTTTGACCTCCAGTTTCTCGTTCTGCAAAACGGTCGAAGAGGCTCGATTACTCCAGATCGGTCTAACCGTTCGGCCAGTGCGTGCGAAGGGGTTCCCGGGCCCCCGGGCACTCGGTTAATGTCATCCTGACGCGTGAGGTGGGCCGTCCGTCATTATCATTGACGTTGCAAATGCCACGGGAGAACGGCTGTCCGAGCGTGCTCGACGACGCGGACGCGGACGGCGTAGGACCTCTTGGAGGCAGCCAATTTATGCAGCGCACGCGGACGGCCCTGGTACACGTGGAATAGCAAGGAGCGCCTTAAGCTCCATGAGAAATGCACTCGAGGCGCGCGGAATGCATCGGGTGCACCGCTTGCAATCTTTCCACGGTCCGCGTCCGCGCGGTCTGTGCCCGTGCGTGTTTTCGCAATGGTCCCTCAGCGAGCGGGTCTTCGTGAGCGTTAGGCTCCTCTCTGCATAAATCACAGCTCGTGTACGCACGTACGCAGCGACATGCGTTACCTAGGCGCGGCACCGTAGTTACCTCGTTCGCGCATCGATTTCTTATTTCGCCTTTGCGAGCTTGGACTCTCTTCCTGGACCCCTCTCGGTTGCCCGGTATTTGACAGAGAAGGAGGGAGGGAGAGGAAAAAGTTTTTTTTTTTTTTTTTTTTTATTAACTAACAAAACAACAAATTAAATCTCGAACCCAGGACGCTCCCGGCAATTATTGGAACGCGGAAGATACGCCGCGACGCACTGCGTCTATTTACGTTTTGATGTTTCTGGGTGCATTGAGACATATATATATATAGAGACAGAGAGTATCGTGTAATCGGAAGATAAAATAATTTTAAGGACGCCCTGTACCTAAGGATGGACGCGTCGTTTGGTTTGTCCGATTGGTCAATCCGCCCGAAGAAAATAAAGACGTCGGGACAGTGGCGTCGGGTAGATTTAACGGTTCTGCGACGCTTTTCCGTCGGTATGAGATTTCACGTTGACGCTAACGTCGACGTCGAGGACGTGCCGGACGCTGACGGTAACGCGAATGGAAAACTCGGACGCAACAGCTGCCGCCGATTTATTTTGGATTTCGTTCGCCAGCGCGTAGCCGTCGCGAATCCCCGTGCTTTTGCTTTTCTATATCTATCCGTGAGAGAGTGTGAGACACTTGCAGCCTCTCTCTCTCTCTCTCTTACTCTTTTACGTAGCTTCCTCCTAGCCCGTATCAAAAGCCTCGGCCCGCCTTGGCCGAGCATGGCCAGAGGCAGGGCTGCACGCGGCGCAGGCACACGGCTCACGAGCGTGACGGCTCATTCCGGCTCGTTGGGGTGCTGGGCCGTGTACGTACGGCACTGCGGCCGTACCGCAATGCTCTTCTATCTCCCGGGCTATTTTCAAGCACGGGAAATAAAGCGCAGACTGCGTTTTTAGACTAACCAGCGACGGTCAGCTAATTCCCGTGACTCTAGCCTGCCCCGGCGTAGCTTGGCCGTCCGCGAGAGACTTCCTGCCGGTCTACTCTACCTCAGTCTACCTCCACTGCGCGACGCTCGGCGTATCCGCCTAATTGCTCGCGCGATTATCCTCCTCGTGGGGGACGGCCTCGATTCCGGTGGGACTAAATAGAGAGAGGGAGAGAATAATCCTGGACAGAGGGAGAGTGACTTTAGACAATGAAAGGGTGTGCGAGAGAGAGAGAGAGAGGGTTAGCATGGGATCGCCAGAGAGAGCGAGAGACAAAATGGCTCACTGCGATATTCCGTGGCAATGCTGGGTACCCTATCCTTTCGCTGTAGTGGAAACGAGACACGGAGGCGTCGCGTCTCGAAAGTTTCCGGGAGGGACGGGGGCTCGGTGAGGGGGCGTCGGGGCGTCGTCGGGGCGGACTACGTCGACGGGTTTTCTACGTCCGAGGGACGCGAGGGCCTCGAGAAAAATGAAGGAGAACACGGCGCCAAACCATATGGAAAGCCAGTGGGAACTTTAATATTTAGATTCAATTACGAAAGAAAGAGAGAGAGAGAAAGAGAGAGAGAGCACCGTTATGCGGCAAATTGTCGCAGAGAGAAAGAGCGAATTAAAGGGAAGGAAAAGAAGAAGGGAAAGATGCGAGATAGAGAGAGAGAGAGAGAGTAAAAACATTAATGGAACAGCCATCTACGTCGTACCATGCGCGTTTCCGGTCTCAGCTGTAATTGGCGCCTGGTTCGTAGATAAAAAATGCCCTGGTTCAAAAAAGGCATGGAATTTTTTTTAGATTTGCTTAAAAAGTATTTAAAAAAAAATATACTCTCTACATAAAAATGACTTGATACAACTCGGGCGCAGACGTCACGAAGAGAAATTTTGACATCGCCAGTTCGGCGAAGGGTCCTTGCTCGCGATTTCGATATCCGCCGTGTCTGTCCTTGTCTTACGCGCGTAAGCGCCGATAAGACCCTCTCTCTCGCACTCGCGGAGGGTATAGGAAATTCCCAAAATTCAACTGAATTCCTTCCTCGACGAGTCGGAAATGCCTTGACGTATCAAAGAAATTTAACAACTGGACACTTTCGTCTCTACCTTTAGACTGAATGGACCCGAAACTTCTGGAAAGTGCCTCTGGCCTACTGGCAACCTCACGAGCATACCGAAATCGCGCGGCCCATGTCACTTGGCTCCCGTCGGAGTCTCACGAATGGTGGAAGCGCCAAAGCGCGCCACACGTCCTCGTCAACGCCGGTGCACGAGGAAGCATGTGGCTGCTTGGCTACTACTGGGATCGCACGCCAAATCAACACCGTCGTTCCCCACGTCGTGCCACAAATTACGTCCCCGTGTCGTCCCGACGGCACGCGACCAGTTGGCCACGCGGTTTACCAAATTGCCGCGAGCCATAAGAGACAGAGAAAAAAAGCAGTCGACATCATCAACAATAAGAAACATTAGAAGCCGTAGGGACCAGCCCGGAATTAAACGGGACACTCGAAATTTCGGCGATTCAGGATTTTCAGGAGGGACTGCGATTGGCTATTGGCCACGGGGTCTTTTCCTTTTTACCTCTTTCTCAACTTTTTTCCTTTTTGTCAAGGTCCGTTTTTTTTTACTCCCCGGGTATATAGAGACGAGAACGAGTCAGGAGAAACTGTCTTTGGTAGCGCACCTCCTCCTCCTCCTCCTCCGTCTCCACCACCCACCCACCCTCCTACCACAGTACCAGGGGCGGAGGATAGTGGCGAACTCCAGCAGGGTCGCGGGGGGTCGGTTGGTTGCTGGAGGTTGGGAGGAGGTTAAATTCAGGCCACCCCCGTAACCCCTAAGTATACAGTGTGTAAGCTATAGCCACGCGGGCTTCGCGTATGTACATACGTAGATAGGTATATGGCATTCGTACATATGTACATCTACGTACGTACGTAGGTACATAGAGACACATAGACGACGCGCTATGCGCCTATCGATTCGGTTTTTCGGGTGCAGGCCTCGTTTCGGCACTCGGCTCGTCCTCTACCCCTATGAAAATTACTTGGGTCCGTATCTTCGACCCTTACTTACTTTTTGGTCTTTCCTCAGCTAAGCGTTCACGGGCAGCCCGCGACCCTTGACCAACCGCTCGGTACCTTCGTGAACGAAGGTAGGAATTGTATTTGAGAAAACAAAAATATAACAGACCGATACCCCGTTAGATGAATAAGGGATGAAAAGGGGTGGAGGCAGCGTTAATACGCCGAGTAAACGATGTCAATGTGAAATTTATGGGAGGTTCTCGGGCATGAGTGGTTTTCGTTCGTTCCAAGGGTGGCTTGGGGATGGGCTAAGTTAGCGGGGGGTGGCTCGGGACGGATAGACTGGGAATATATTTATTAATTTGGCAACGGTCCCGAGTGTATAGCTGGTGGCCTCTTACGTTACTACGTTATGACGCGAACAAAGCGACTGCACGATTTCTTTATAGGCAATTCCGGGGTCTGCATAGAGTGTTGTAAATATTACAGTCCGCCCTCGAAAACCAACCTCCGATCCTCCACGACCCTCTTGGGCGGCTCGGCAATGCATTCGTGTACCAAACATGACAACGCACTAGCAAGAGCGCATCGACACGGCCGACGTAAACTATCGCTCTGTCTCACTCTCTCTCTCTCGTTTACTGCTGTATCTTTATTTCTATGTGTGTATATATATATATATATATATATGACCACTTCTGCCTCTCTTGCAGACGCGCTTATTTTTCTGCACTTTATAGCCGCGCGCGCACATCGCGACTTCCGGTTTCAAGATTGCATCCATCCGGTATTTCGCGATGGAGACGCTTGGGGCCGGGGCAAGTGTTTGGATTGGAGCTACCCTCTTCTCTTCACCCCTAATTCTTATGGCGACTCTCACCTCTCGAAACCATAATTCTTTCTTTTACCTCTTTCACGCGTGCATAGACATACACACTCTCTCTCTCTCTCTCTCTCTCTCTCTCTCTCTCTCTCTCTCTCTTGAAGGGAAAACAGATATATATATATATCTGCATATCATTTGCAAGAACCACCCCCATTTCAGATAAGAATTCAAAGATGCTGGGGATCGAGCACGTGGTACATAGACTAATATCGTAGCTTTGGGACTCTAACGATTTTACATAATACACAGATTGAACTCAGAGCACCCACCCACCCACCGAGCCAGACATCGAGGGATGCTCTTGCCTCGGATAAAACGAATGAAATATATCCTTTGCCATCCCAGGACCACCCTTGGTCGTCTCGAGGTCATAAAGATCCGACCAGCAACGACGGCATGGACCAACGCCTGACTCCAGGCCCGACGATTGTTTTGATGGTCAAACCGTGGTTGCTACCCTTTTTTTTTTTCTTTCTTACGGACAAAGGCTGTACCATCTTCAGTGGAGACTGACAGATAGCCAGGTACAGAGAGGCAGATCTGTGGGAGGATAGATGGGTGGGTTAGGTAGGCCCGTTGGGTGGGCTCGTTAGATGAATGGGGCCAGCATGCATCGGGTGGAGTGGGACGGGGGGGGGGTGCTAGTTTGCATAAATTTAGGAAATACAGGGTAGAAAATCGATATCCGCATAGAGATTATAGATGGTGGTTGGTAGGCGCCGCGTAGCCGCAGCCTCCGTCGCGACGGCGTATGCGCTACATGTCTATGCTCACTCCTCTGCCGCCACGGGCAGCACTCGGTAGGACCATCGTCGCTGCCATGGCCTTCCTCGTCATCCCTTGGTATACAAAAATTCTTTTTTTTTTTTTTTTCGATAAATT